AGCTTTTCTGGGCTGCTGTCAACGGGCTCGGGCGGAGGACCAGCCCGCCATGGAGCCAGTGAAGGGGCTGCGGGCACAGCAGGTTCCAAAACTGGAAAGGGGGCTGCAGGCTGGTCTTCTGCACAGAGCCAGGCTCATCAGATCTCTGCGAACAAGCTGCCATCCCACTGGGATCCAAGGGTCTGTGGGCAGCTTCCCAGATGCTGTCGGGACCTCGTCACCAGTGGATTTGGGGAGACAAGAGACTAGCACTGAGCACGGGCAGGTGCTCAGGGGGACGGGTGTGTCAGCCCGCAGGGCAGGAGTAGAGAACACGGGCCAGAGCCAGGGAGCGGCCAGCAAGCAGCAAAAACGGGCGGGGAGGCAGGGAGGCGGCAGTGGCGGAACTGGCGAGGTCTGCCTGCAGTCTGAGGCTGGCTGCAGGCGGGGAGTGGGGGCAAGAGGTGTAGAAAGGGGGACACGATAGCCATTAGGAGGGTAGAGATGCGACATTAGCAAGGCCACTTTATCACTGATGCCTGTCCTATTCTTGCTTTTGGGCTTCTCCGCAGGCCCTTCAAGAATCCCTGTCAGGTTTGTTCAGATGCTGCTGGGGACGCAGCCCACGAGTGCCCCTGGCAAACACTCAGGGCCCAGGAGTCCATCCTGAGCCACGGGCAAGAGCGGACATCCTGGCCAGCTCTCTTAGGGGCAGTAGGTCTTTTAGAGGCAGTACGTCTTGCATAAAAAATATTTGATGTGACCACGGACAACACTTCTGTCATTGTCAGAAAAATAGAAGGGATTTGCAATTTTGCTTTCATTTATTATTTGGGACAAATGATCAAAGAAACATTATCACTATTCTATAAAACAAATCAAAAAGATAATACAAACAAGGCATTAGAAATACATGATAAACTTCGCCCCAAAATGCCTAAGTCGAAGCTGAGTACTTAGTGTAGAGAGCACTACTGTGACCTGTTAATACGGTGTCATTCAATGGCTAAAGTAGGAGAGCTTGGATACCATTTTCAAAAATGGTATCACTGCCAAGTTCTTTACCCAAATGGCGACATTTCTCTGTGATTCAGTGGTCCTCACCCACGGGTGTGCATTAGCATCACCCGGGATGCTTCCACAAACACCACTGCTTGGATCCGAGCGCAGGCCAAATAAATCCGATGGGAGGAAAGGGGGATGTGAGGGGGCGCCTGGGGAAGCAGGGCATCGGTATTCTTTTCTTAAAGCTTGTTCTGGCCACCTTCCGTTGCATAACAAACGACTCTCACAACCTGGTAGCTTGCTCATCTAGGTCACAACTCCACAGTTTTGGCAGAGTCACGCAGGGACAGCTTGCCTACTCTATGCAGCACTTAGCTGAGGTTGCCCGTGTTGGCCTAGAAGACTAACATGACTCACTCTCAAAGCCGGGAAGTTGGTGCTGGCTGTCAGCTCGGTGCTTGTCTGGGGACAAAGGCTGGGGGGTTTGGCTTCTCTCCAGGGGGCTGCTAGGACCCCACACCGCGACGTAGCGGGGCTCCAAGAATGAATGTTCCAATGCCTGGCATAATCTACGAGGCTCATCCTAACCTGGCTTCAGAAGGTCCAGAACATCACTTCTGCTTTGCCCTGTTAGTTAAGTGACTCACGGAGGCCAATTCAGAGTAGAAGGGAGTATGGTCAGATGTCAACTCAGTGGGAGAAGAACCAAATCCCCTGCTGCCATCTTTACCATGCAGCTGTGTGCTGGTGTCTAGGTGCGGGGAGAGATGGACTGGCTTCCTGTCTGGTCTGGGTGCTGTCACAAGCACCGCAGAGTTGGTAAACAACAGAAATGTATTCTCCCACAGCCCTGGAGGATAGAAGTCCCAAATCAGAAGCACTGGGCTAAAATCAAGGTGTCAGTGGGACTGTGCTCCCTCCAGAGGTTCTAGGGGAGGATCCTTTCCTCGCCCCTTCCAGCCTTCGGTGGTGTCAGCATTCCTTTGCTTGCGGCCACATCATCAGATCTCTCTGCTCCATCTGCACACCTCCTTCTGTGTGTGTGCGCGCACGTGTGTGTTTGTGTATGTGTGTGTGTGTGTGTGTGTGTGAGAGAGAGAGAGAGAGAGAGAGAGAGAGAGAGAGAGATCTCTGCTGCCCTCCTGTGATCAGTGAGGTTGCATTCAGGGCCCTCCCTATCAACCCAGAGTCATCTCCATATTTCAAGATCCTTATTTCCATCACGTCCGCAAAGATCCTCTCCCCAAATACAGCAATCGTGACAGGTTCCAGGGTTTAGGACCTGGTATCTTCGGAGGGGCATTACTCCGCCTACTACAATCATGAAAAATGTATATGTGAGCTAATAAACCTGATCCCCAGACTTGCAAAAGAAACTCAGCTTCCTGTGTCATTATACATCAGAAAGGCCCAGGAGCAAAGCCGGAGCTGGGACTGGGGAGAGACTGGTGTCTAGGACCTAACAGCCATCAGTCCAGGAAAATGTTAGCCATTTTTCTTCCCCAAAGTGTCTTTTGTTAAAAAGTAACAGTTTTGTTGAAATATAATTGAATATGTTCTTTTTTTTAACCTGACCATAAACCTCAAGAAAGCAAACGTTGTCAGTATTTCAAGGGGTTAGCGGTAATTTGAAGACTTTGAAATGTGTCTCCAGGATTTTAATAGCTCAGAAATGGGGACTAATGTGGAGAATTCCCCTAATATTCCTAAAATAACACAGGGACTCAACTGATACAAAATCCTTTTCTGTCACCCAAAACACTTACCCAAAACTTTAGGTTTGTATTTCCCTTAAAGCTAGTTAGGAGCCGACCACCTGCAAGCCCACTACTCCCTAAAACTTATGTACTGGTACCTCAGACAACTCAGTGAGGCTTATCCCAGGCCGCCAGCACGCTCTCCAATTAACTGAAAGTTTAAGACAAGTTTTAAAGTACATAAAATACAGAGTCTGGCAGAAGTAAGGCCTGCTTGAATGTGGTTGGTAGGGTAATAATAAGTGTGTAATAATTTAGTTTTAATTTGAGCATTTCCCCTAAAGTGTCATATGATGTGCTTGAGTGTAAGATTGTTCTGTTACAGAATTACATGCTTATGATTTTGTAACAGAAAGGGGCGTTATTTGTGCCAGACCCTGCATATTCATTTTGTGCACAACAGTAATGGAAGTAGTGCATCTTGTACACCCTTAACGTAGATGGTGGCAGGTCTGGCTTTCATCAGAACAGGCATATCATTTACATAGTCCCTGAGCGAGAGACCTTTCTCAGAGACGAGGCACCTGCTTAAAATGCCAGCGTGGCGCTTCTCCAGCTGCCCGCGTGCCCGGGGGCCGCGGGCTCTGAGTGCCCCACGAGCCCACAGTGCAGCTCCCGGGGTCACCCGGACTGCTTTCGGCGGGCACGGGCGCCAGGCGAGGTCGGGCGCGGAGGACCCACGAGCGCACCTCTGAGGCAGTCCAGTGCTCTATCGCCCCGCCAGGACCGAAACAGACGCCCCAGGGTACTTCTCCGCGAGGGACACTTCACAAAACGGAGTCGCTCAAACTGAGTTTTACAAACAATCCCAGTGCACTTGCTAGCGCTTTCTGCCTCTGTCTCTGACTTGCTCCTCACAACACAATGATCAGACCCTAAGCATACTCTTCTTTTTATAGATTTAAGAAATTTCCCTTTCTTCCCTTCAGTTTCAAAGAATTTCCAGTGTTTAAGAACAAAAAACAGCAGCACGGAGCAGATAAACAGCCCTCACCGGCCTCACAGGCCAAGTGTCTGGGAATCAGGTCACAAGCGGGGACACTGGCCTTGCTGAACACTCCTCCATCATCACAGGATGCAGTGTAGGTCCCCAGTGCCAACTCACACTCAGGAAAGGAAGGGTCGTGGGTTTTCAACTGTCCCTCTGTGTCCTTTAGGCCACATGCATGTCAAACAAACGGCCTGGTCACCTAGTGGCATAATGGGAAGCGAAGGTTGCCACTGCTATACTTTCTGCTGCAGGAATTTCTGGCATTCCCATTAGGTGCTTTACGCTCCCGTCTATTCTGAAGCAGCAATTGCTAAATTTCATTTCACAGTAGTCGTTTTTAATTCCTAACCAAAGTTTACTCAACTGCCTTGCCTGACCAAGCAACGCACCGGTCCCCTCTGGGAGGCATACTGGCCAATACCGCCAGCTTGCAGCACGGCAGGCGTCCACACAGTTCAGCTGTCACCACTGACGTTTGCTGTGAATTGGCTGCGCCCATTTTACTGACTATGGGAATCACAGTATGCAATTACGTATTGTGTAAAGTGATTTTATAGGAGTGGAGAGAGTTGTTCCCATGCAAGTTTAGTTGAATGCTTTTAGGAGACTCCTCAAAGCAGGTGTATGTGTTAATCATAAAAGACGAGGAAACAAAATCTTACAAATTTACAAGGATTTTACAGATTACTTTAAAATTTAGATTTTCTCTTTGTTTTAAAGAGACCGAAATGGAACATGTTAAACTATACATGAAAGGTGCTGTTTAATGTTGCCAAAGAATGCAAATGAGCACGACTATCACTGCAATAAAACCATTAAAAATTTGAGAATTGGCATTTATAAATTTTGAGTCAAAATAAAGTGTTTATATATATATATATATACACACATATACATATACACACACACACACATATATATGCGTGTGTGTGTGTGTGTATATATATATATACACACACACACGTATATATATATGTTAACTCCCCTTGTTGACCAACGTTTCTTTCCTTCTGGGAGAACTGAGCAGTCTGGGGACAGCAGGCAGCTCGGAAGGCTCCATGTCCCCCCGACCTACTGCTGGGGGCACGCGCCGAGCGGCTCCCCCCAGGAGCACAGATGAGAGTGCAAGACTAGGGAGCAGTTTAAGTGCCGCAAGCCACCTAACTGCTGCTGGGCAGGGCGGCCTTCCTGCCAGTCTGGTGTTCTGTTACACCTCGGCCCCTCCCTTCTCCACTCCCCAAAGCTGAGAAAGGGACGCCAGCTCATACCCATCCTTTTTGTAAAACTCCAGCATCATATTATCCGTGGCAACGCTGAGGGGCCGGCGGGCCTGCTCGGGCTGGCGCCGGTCGGCGGGGTCCATGTCTGGGGAGGGCATTGAGCTGTAGTTGGCGTTGTGGTTCACGTGCACCGGACTCCCGTAGTTCCCTGTGATGTTGAACTCGATCTCTGTGGGGAAGAAAGACAGGGTGTACATGCTCTGTTGGGCCATCACACCCATCCTGGGCAGGGCAGAGAGGAGCGGGCTGGCCTCTCCTTTATGCTCCACCCGCAGGAAACTGTGTTCAGTGTTAGGTCATCTGTTGGTATCAATGCATCTTAATATAACTCATCATGATAGTAATATGATAGCTTACCTATCATATTAATATTATGGGCGTGTAATAATGCAATTTCCATTTGTGATTAAAAAAACAAACTTAATTAAATGGAAATGGGAGTATTTCCTGAAAAAAGACAAAATCAGCTACCTTCAACCTCATGGTTAAGAGGGAAACACCAGAGCATCTTAATCAGATCAGGGAAAAGAGCAAGGCCCACTTTTGCCACTGTTAACTGGCTGCCGGAGTAGTGCTAGCCAACGGAATCAGTCCAGATGGAAAGTGAGAGGCAGCGTTGTGACTTGTAAGTGATAACGTCTTCCTGGAAAACTGAGACGGATTAGCAATGGAGACTTCTCTGAGGTCATGTCGAATGGATCTGTGGAGACCCTCACCCCATCCTTTCCTAGTCATCATCTGTTCATCTGCGATGGTAATGACCTAGCTCATCCACGGCACGTGCAGAAGTCATTATGCCTTCAACTCCTTTCTCCTTCATTTCTTTATCCTGATTCCTTGCCCTTACCTGGCCTTATGTGGTTTGTTAGAACTCTCATGAGATCAGCAGTTAAGAGCTTTTCAGAGTCCGAACACATGATGCAAAATAAAGGCAATCAAACTCCTAATGTGTTAGATCAGCACTGATTGATTGCCTCTGAGAGAGAGAGCACATAAATATTAACATTAAATGCCCTTAACATTAACTAAATGTAAGGCAGGGTACCCTTTTTTTAGAAGGGAACACAGAATTTGAGGTAACAACTGCTGTCTCTTCAAAGCCGGCACCGCTGAGTCATACGCTTGTGCAATGGTGTCCCCGTGGCTAAGAGAACATTTATGAAAATCCACCTGAGGTAGCTGCCTCTAAAGTCTGATCTTGAACCAAGTACAAAAAAAGAATCTCATCACCTGTGACCCCCACCTTCACAGGCTGACGGGAGCTCAGAGGACACAGCTGAGAGAGCAAAGGACGGCACCTGAGTGATCCGCAGACCTGGACAGAAGTCCCCTGCATCCCCAGTCTAGCCTCCCTCTGCAGCAGAAAGCAGAGGACAGCTCTTTCCTTTCTGCATCAGCATCTGAAGGTGCACAGATTTAAAGAAACCATGGTGTGGATGTTAAACCCATCAAATCCATGGACGTGGCTTGTATAGGCTGTGCACAACCTCAGGCCAGAAAGTAGGAAACTGCCGTGACCCTGCCCATACCTGAGGGCAGGCGCGCCCGTGTGTAGGGGGATTACAAACAAACAAGCACCTTGGCTGCTGTGGCTCAGTGGTTGGGTGTCATCTCGCAAACCAAAAAGGTCGCTGGTTCAACTTCTGGTCAGAGCACAGGTCTGGGCTGTGGGTTTGGTCCCCAGCCGGGGCGTGTAAGGAAGGCAGCCAATTGATGTTCCTCTCTCACATCCATGTTTCTCTCCCTCTTTTTCTCCCTCCCTCACCCTCTTTCTAAAATAAATAAATAATGTTTAAAAAATAAAATGTTAATTCTAAAAAAGCCCCAACAAGACAGACAGACACCTTTAGGCAGCAGGACTTGGTTTCAAAGGCGCAGAACTGCCAATGACACCTCTGCAGCCACCCCGCTCCCACAACGGGTGCCACCGCGTACCCCCGGGGAAGAACCAGTCCGCGTGCTGGATGATGGGCTCGATGATCCCGACGATCTGCAGGGAGACGGTGGTCATCATCTCCGTGATGTTCCTGCAGGCACAGAGCGGAGGAGCGCGGCGTGGGGCCAAGGCCGAAGCACCACGGCCCCGCAGCGCGGGGAGCCGCCCCGGCCTGGAAGCCTGCGGACCCAGGTCTGAGAGCAGTCCTTCTCTTGAGAAGAAGAGGCTCCCCTTTCTGAACCCCTTGTTCCCATCTACAGAATGAAGGCAACCACAGAAGTCCTCCTCACAGGAGACGTGCAAGGATACGAGGGAGTCCCACAAATCGGCAGGTACGAAGCGCCTTGCAGTGGGCGGTATGATTCTCTTCACTGCTAGTCTCATCCTCTCTATGACTCTGTCCTCTCTGCTGAGACTGCCCTCTGTCCCCCTGGATCCTGACGCTGGGGCGTGAGCTCTTCACAGTGTCTTAGGACAGCCTCAGAGCGCTCGCCTTGCCTGGCCCCTCGCGTCCCCCCCTCCCCTGAAACTGCCTTAGATTAGCTCAGAGGACACCCTCTGAGCAGACCTGCCCCTCTGAGACCATCAGGGGAAAGGCCTGAAGAATCCGGGGCCTCCTCCCGAGACTAAGAAGGGAGCAGGCCCCGAAAGAAGTAAGACCTGAGAAAAACGAGCCGGTGGCTTTCTGGGCCCTGGCCAGCCCTTCGCTGCCGGCAGCCCTATGGTGCCCAGGTGCCCGTGCCTCTCTGCACTCACCCTTCCGCTTGCGGCCATAGGAGGTTGGGTCCTAAGACGATTGCCATGTTACTGGGAGTCATCTTGTTTACATCTTGATATTCTGACAACTTGGATAAGAATTTGATCAAGTATCTGAAAGAAAGAGGGCTAATTTTAACCAAAGAGCTCAACGTTGGCCATGCTCCCCCAGCACTGGGTAGAAATTCCTCTCATGTAGCAAATCTTACTGACAAGGAGACTCGCACATTCTGCAATATGATGAAAACGCATCACATGTCAGGACACAAAAATGCTCCAAAAACAAACTCAGATCTCACTCTGCTCGATGTCAACATCTGGCCAGAGAAATTCTCCATCTTTCCTTGGGACTTAGTATAAAATGACCTAAAGTTCCTTCTTCATTTCAAACTTCTGTCACCTGCCATCTTCCTTATGTGCAGAAGTGAGAAGCAAAGCGTCTAGGTGTCATTGGTCAGGACATTTACAGGTTAGGAGGGGCAGCCCCTGGTCCCTTTGGAGCCCCCTCAATGGGGCTTTCTGGAGAGATCCAAGGAAGGAAAAGTTATCGACTTAGCATGTGACCCAGCAATTCCATCCCTAGGGACATGTCCAGGAGAAGCAGATCCTCGGAAGCTTGCAGTGTTACTCATGACAGTCAAAAAGTGAAGACCACTCCGATGTCCCTCAGGGATGGACCGCACACATAAAATGCGGTCCATCCGTACGATGGACTATTATTCAGACATAAAGAGGGATGAAGCTCTGACACAGGCTGCCACACGGGTGAACCCTGAAACATCATACTGAGGAGCAGAAGACCACATGCTGCGGGACAGCCTTCCTGTGAAATACCCAGCACAGGGAAACCTGCGGAGGCAGAGACAGGACGTGCACGGGCGGCTGCTGGGGGCGGGGCTCGGGGACACTGGTGGCTGCGTACGGGGACAGGGTGTCTTTTTGAGGTGATGAAAATGTTTTAAAATTAGATAGTGGTGATAGTTGCATAACTCTACAATCATACAAAATACCCCCACCAAATCGTACACTTTAAAAGGGTACAACAGTGTGTGCATTATATCTCAATAAAGCTATTATTAAAAAAAAAAAAAAAAGAACCAGTGTAAAAGCTACTCACAAACCGAGTGCGAAAAGTAGCACTGGCAAATCACACTGAAAACCTGCCAGGCTCTGACATGGCCCTTAGGGCATGTGCTTTCTCTGGGGCCTGCAGCTACACGCAGCGGCGATTCTGATGGCACTGCTTGAATCGCCTCTTTCAGCCCAGCAGAAAGTCCAGGCTCAGGGGCTGACCACGTAGCCTCTAGGCTGGATCTGTCTAACTCTGTCCACAGCCTCTCCTGACTGTGTCTCCCTTTCTGAGAGGCCACAGGCAACGGGGCCAGAACGTGGGACCTCAGCTGACAGTCGAGCCACAGCTCCCTGGTCCTCAGCTGTAGACGGCAACACTGAACGTGTTATACTGATCTGAGTCTCACTCTTTGGATTTTTTAAAAAAATTGTGGTAAATACATATGAGTCCCCATTTTAACCATTTTTAAGTATATAGTTCAGTAGCATTAAGTACTTTCATACATATAGGCAACTATCACCACTGTCCATCTGCGGAACTTCCCAACACCCCAAACTAAAACTCTGTACCCATTTGACGATACCCTCCCATCTCCCCCTCCCCACCCCAGCCCCCGGAAACCACCGTTCTACTTTCTGTCTCTACGCGTGAGACTATTCTAGGTGCCTCACGTGAGTGACTGGCTTTTTTCACTCAGCATAATGCCCTAAGGTTCCACGCTGTAGCATGGGTCATCATTTCCTTCTCTTTTCAGGTTGAATGTTGCATTGCTTGTGTATTTTGTTGACCCATTTATCCACTGAGGGACATTTGGGTTGTTTGCATCTCTTGGCTATTGTGAACAGTGCTGCTACAAACATGGGTGTACAAATATCAAGTCTTTGCTTTCTAATCTTGCAGCTATAGAGCCAGATGTGGAATTGCCGGGTGAAGTGGTAATTCTATGTTTAATTTTAATTTTTTGAGGATCTGCCTCACCATCCCTCTTGGGATTCTTTACAGGAAAACAGAAAGAATCAGGCAGATGGTGACAGCAGCTGAAGCCGAAAATCTGTATCTAAAGAAACAGCGAGAAGAGGCGCGGGGCCCGGAGCAGTGCTGGCGAGACATGGAGGCGGAGGCGAGGAAGCAGAGGGTGCGAAGGGGCAGCTGCCGAGGAGAGGAGGGATCTGCACAGGAGCTCAGGTGGTCGCAAGAGAAGTGAGAGACAGGCGTATTTAAAATAGCTGGCGAATGGCAGAGCACTAGAGAATATTCTCCCGGCCTCTTCTGCAGGACCAGCTCAAGGACACACCTACCCACTCCAGCTCCCGGTTTGGTTAGCTTCTCCCAGGTGTCCATGAATGCCTTTGCAATAAATCCCCAATATCTTGAAGTCACTTGCACTAACCTTGGCTTCCTTCACATCAAATACCTTAACTGAATTAGCCAATGGCTAGTTAGGCAACCTCCAAAGTCATCTACTCTGTATCCTCATCTGCAAAATGGTAGTTAGCAATCTTCACAGGGTTGTTTGCAGTTGAAAAGCGACCACGACCTTTAGCAAGGAAAATATGTGTCTGGGGCTCGAAGAACAGACTCACGTGTCCCCAGTGTCTACGTACCGAATGTTGTTGTGGTTGGCCTTGGGCAACTTTTCACAAGCATTCCACAGAGCCTGAAGCCTCTTGTCTTGCTCCTGGATGCTGAGGAATTAACAGGAAAAGCCACTGGTTGAGCATGACTCAATGAAGCCTCACCAGCAGTCATATTAACCCGTCATTGTAATATTTGAGAATAAGAAGCCAACCACGAGACTGACCATATCAGCAAGCTATTATTACTCAAATGATTTGATTACTCTTATCTTCCCCTCTGTGTTCTCTTTCTGTCTTGTCCTGTGCTATTTTAACAAAACTTCCCCTGCCCACGTCTCATGTCCCAGGGTAGCAGGTTGGGGCAGGAGGACGGAGGCCGGACACCTGCGCTCTGGAGTAGGCTGGGCCATGGTGTTCTCAGGAGGGCGATTCTGGCACAGGAACCAGGATACATGGTACCAGGCAGGATACACATACCCTCCAGGGGCAGAAAGAAGTCCTTGCGTCTCCTTGGTCCCAGGCCACGGAGCGCTGAGGCATCAGGATCATTATTTGCTATTTCCTGTTGGAGTTCCCCCTTTACCAGTGGGTGGGAAGATGTCTCTCATAGAGAACCTGAAACAGCAGGCTGTCCTCCCCTCCTCTAGCTTTAGATCAGCAAGGTCACGGAGACATTCAGTAACTAAAAGGGACAGTTTCCATCAAAGGACATGTTCTCCCTTATCTTCACCCCCAAGCCCACATTGGCAGTTCACCCACCTTCACACCACGGTGGCACTGACTGTCCAGTTCAACAACTATTGTCTAATAGACATTCAGCCAATCCCTCTGCATAAGTAAATTTTATGAACAGAAATATGATCTTTCAAGACATGACTCAGAGATGGATCATTCCCATGAACAAAGCATACTCTACTCTACAAAAATATTTGTTTTAAGGGTTTCTTTATTTATAAGCCCTCTGAGAATTAAAACCAAAAGTTACTCATAGGATTACATTTTTAAAGTATTTTGCATGAAAATCTCCAAGAAGGCTGGCATGGTGAGGAAGGCCTGAGCCCCAGGAAACCAGATAGGAAAGCCCCGGCTGGGTGAGGCGCCAGCTCTGACCGTGAGCCAGGGCCCCGGGTTGGGGGGGGCGGGGGGTGGCGGCCGCCGCCTACACGCCGGCTCCAGAGGTCCTCCCACAGATCCTGACCACAGCAAGAAAAACTCCTTCCCTCACTTTCTTCAGTGGGCCTTCTGCTAGGAAACCGATGGGAAAACCAAACCTCCCACTAGAAATGGCAAGGTCACAGCTCATACTTGTCAAGTAGTCAGATCTGACCAGAGCTTGGCCAAGGATGGTTTTCTGTCGGGAGGTCATGGAGAACCAGCTCCATCCTGGCCGTGCCCCAGTGCCAATGAGTTAATCTCTGTGAGCCTCACTGTCCTCATTGTAAATGGGGTTAATAAGAGAACCTGCCCTGTAGCGTCCGTGTGAGTGGTTTAAAGGAGAACCGTACAAAGCGCTTGCTCACGATCAATGTCGGTCTTTGCAGCCCCTGCAGTTGTCTCCACTTTCGCCTCTGCCAGCAGCTGGGGCGTCTCTTGCGGCACCGAGCCCCATCTGCAGTCCTGCTCCTCAATCCTTTCCCAGGTGCAGAGGCAGATGCTGCGAAGGCCTTGCATTCAGTACAACCCAGCAGACACACACTGAGCACTTCCTGCGTGGCAGGCACTGTCCTGAGGGCTGGGAAGCTGCGGTCAACCAGGAGGGCGTCACTCTCAAAGCTCACAGTGTGATCGGCTACCCAGACGCAGCTGTCAGCCAGGCAGTCAGGATGACCACGGGGGATGGGACCGACCACGGCTGCTGGCCGCTTCACCTCGGCTTGTCAGAGAGGCTTCTTTGAGGTTACATTTCAGGTGGGGCCCCAATGACCAGAAGCAGCCCTCGGGCAAAGCGCAAAGGTAAGGGCTCATCCATCCGGACCTACGACTGCAGCGTCAGTCCTGCCCGCATCCTCCGTCAGGTGTCCCTGGGCTAGCCTGAACCTCTATCCTGCGACTCCAGCATGGAAGCACGCAATTGACGTGGGTCGCTGAGTGGCGCCCTTTGAGTCAGGGGCCGCCTCGCACTGTCCTGACGACCCCCAGATGCGGCCCCTGCTGGTTCCCTGGCTTTCCCTCCTGCTCCTGGACACCCCTCCCACGGAGGAGCTGGCTGTGCTATGCGCCTCAGCCTGACGTGAATCCGATTAGGGCTAGTGCAGCTCCTCGGGGAGATTCCTCTCATCAAAGGCCAGTGGTTATCATCCAAACAGCCTTGGGGGTTTTGAAACAAGGAGCCCAGGCCAATTAAATCAGAATCTTCGGGGAAAAAAGGTCCAGGCACTGATATCTTTTAAAAGCTCCTCAGGAGACTGATGTCCACAGAGGGCTGGAAGTGGCCGTTCTCAGCAAAATTGCTTTCTTTAGAGGCTGTAACCTTAAAGGCAGCCACCATTATCCCTGGGGTGTTTAAGGCATCACACGCATACCCTCCAGGGACAGAACAAGTCACTGCGTTTCCCTTGTTCCAAGACACTGAGCTCAGAGGCACCAGGATCATTATTTCCTATTTCCACTGGAAACCCACCTTTACCAACGAGGTAGGAGGTCCTTCCAGTCAAAAAGGCAGCATATGTAAACACGGTACTCACCTCTTCGCACAACTATATTGAAATTATAACTAAACTACAGAACAGCCATCATTCAGAACTGTCAGAAATTGAACTGCCTGGAAGTCCTACAACTAGGGAATTAAAGAAACCACATTAAGACTGGTAGGAGGGTGGAGACGGGGACAGGCTAGTCCCACAGCCATGTGGGGAGGATAAAAATTGGGAAGGATATCTTGGGAGTGAGGGGTCCAAGTCCCACTCGAAGTGCCCCAGCCCAGGGTTCCAGTGCCAGAAAGGTAAGTTTCCATAACTTCTGGCTGTAAAAACCAGTAGGGATTGAGACTGTGGAAGACAGAAACTTCTGGAGTCCCAAGCAGTTCTTCTTAAAAGGCCTGTGCATAGACTTACTTGCACACACTTCCTCTGAGCTCCTGCATGAGGGCAGCAGATTGAAAAGCACCAGAAACATCCATGAAGAAATAAGAGCTGGTGGGCAGCTTTCTCCCAGACAGAAGTGCTAGCAGATGCCATTGTTCCTTTTCTGAGCCGTAGTCCAACAGAGCCACAGAGCCAGCAGGCAGGCACCACATCTGAGACTCCATCAACCTGGTTCAAACTGTTTGACCCACCCTGGCAATTCCCTAAGGTCCTGTCCCAGCCAACTATTGGGCTCCCCCATGCTGTTTTCAGTTGCTTTTTCATACAAATGGCCTGGCTTGGCCCATGCTTCTGGTTTTCCTAAATTCTCTCAGACAAGCAGCATCTGGCTTCAGCAAGCACCATACCTCTCACTAAGTTTCCCCAGGCCCAGCACTAGCAGCAGCCAGCTCTGGTTAACAGCTTGGCCTCGCATGGGCACCTCCAAGCCCAGCACAACTAGCAGCCATCTGCAGATCACTTTGTAGCTTATGCTGTGTGACCCTGCACAGAACACAGGTGACAGCTAACCTTGGATGTGCCAACAGCAATCAAGGCTCAACTACAACAAGAGTTTGTACACAGCCCACATGGGGACACACCTTGAGTACCCAACTTGGGTAATAGGGGAGGCTGTGCCACTGGACCCTACAGGATGCCTACTACATTAGGCCACTCTACCAAGCTTGGAAGACATAGCAGCTCTACCTAAAACATAGGAACAAACACAGGGAGGCTGTCAAAATGAGAAGACAAAGAAACATGGCCCAAATGAAAGAACAGAACAAAGCTCAAGAAAAAGGACTAAACAAAATGGAGACAAGTAATCTACCAGATGCAGAGTTCAAAACATTGGTTATAAGGATGCTCAATGACCTTAAAGAGGACCTCAACAGCATAAAAAATATCCAGTCAGAAACAAAGGGTATGTTAATTGAAATGAAGAACAATTTATAGGGAATCAGCAGTAGAATGGAAGGAGCCAAGATGCAAACACCCAATCAGAACAGCAAAAAAAAAAAAAAAAAAGAATCCAAAAAATGAGGAAGTGGAAGGAGACTTTGGGCCAAATTCAAGCACAGCAACATTCCCATAATGAGGTGCTGGAAGGAGAAGAGAAAGAGCAAAAAATTGGAAATGTATTTGAAAAAATAATGACAGAAAACTTCCCTAACTTCCCTAACTTGGTGAAGGAAATACATATACAAGTCCAGGAACCACAGAGAGTCCGAAACAAGATGAACTCGAAGAGGCCCACACCAAACACATCATAATTAAAATTCCAAAGGTGAACGACAAAGAGAGAATCTTAAAATCAGCAACAAAAAAACAGTTAGTTACCTACAAGGGAGCTTCCATAGGACTGTCAGCTGATTTCTCAGAAGAAATTTTGCAGGCTAGAAGGGTTTGGCAAGAAATATTCAAAGTGATGACAAGCAAGCACCTACAACTAGAATCATTCTATCCAGCAAAGCTATCATTTAGAATTGAAGGGCAGATAAAGAGCTTCCCAGACAAGAAAAAGCTAAAGGAGTTCATCACCATCAAGGCAGTATTATATGAAATGTTAAACGGTCTTCTTTAAGAAGATCAGAAATATGCACAATAAATACACCTATCAACAACTGAATCTGAAAAACAAACAAACAAGTAGAACAGAAGGAATCATAGGCACAGAGGACGTTTTGATGGTGACAGATGGGAGGGGTGTTGGGGAATAGGCAAAAAAGGTGAAGGGGTTAATCAGTACAGATTGGTACTTACAGAACAGTGATGGGGCTGTAAAATATAGCATAGGGAATAGGGTAGCCAAAGAACACATGTTCTATGCATGACCCATGGACATGGACAATGATGGGGGGATTGCCTGAGGGAGTAGGGGGTACTGGATGGAGCAGGGCAAAGGGGGAACACTGGGACAACAGTAAGAGCATAAACAATAAAACATAATTAAAAACAAATGAGGCAGGAGGATGTCTCTCAGAGAGATCCTGAAACAGCAGGCCATCCTCCCCTTCTCTAGCGTCATATCAGCAAGGTCACTGAGACATTCAATAGCTAAAAGGGACAGTTTCCATCAAAGGACACATTCCCACTTATCTTCATCCCCAGGCCCACAGCACTTTTCTAGAGAGGCCTCGAGGGCCATGATCAAACACATGGGTTCTTGAGCCACACTCCTGGATCCAGATCCTCATTCTCTCATGGATCAGAGGGCAAGTAACCTGCCTTTGCACATCAGCCCCATGACTCAACTTCCCCACCTGTAACATTGGGGCAATTGCACCGCCCACTCTGTAGTGTGGTCATGAAATTAGATGAGTTAAAAACATTCAATGAGCTTAAAACAATGTGAAGTCTCAAGGAATGATATCACTGATGATTATTGGCGTCATCACGGAACTCAACACTTGTTCTCCAAAACAAGACATATGAACACCATACATCCAGCCAGACTTTTAAAAATGCATAACCTCCCTTATGTCATGAGACAAAACCATGTGATACAATATAATTGGAGCTCCTTTTCTCTAAACTGACACACACTGGCGGGCTGCACTTCTAAGTCAGCTGGGCTGTCTTTTGGCCCCCAGCTCTTACAGAAGCAGGTACATACACCCGTGCTCTTTCTGACACTAAGATGGATGCTCCTTATGACTCAGCCTCATGGCAAGAGACCTCTAGCAATCAAGTCCTCTCTCAGGTGCCTAGCTGAGCCCTGCTCTCATAACATGCTCTCCCCCCCTTCATCTCTTTTTCCTGCATTGTCTCTACTATCTATTTTCCGGAACCAATTCTCCTGTGTCCTCACTAGCTGTGCCCATTCACTAATACCTAGGCCTCCAAATAGCAGCACCTACTGAAGATAGTGCTTACTTCCACTATCTTCACTAACACTAACACTTTGGCCAACACTAACACATGCCTCAAGTGAGGAAAGAAGCAGGAATCAGAAAGAAACCTACCCTCTGGAGCCACAACCAATGACATGGCTGTGGCTTTGCCTGCTGCTTATATTTCCTCTCTTCCCAGCACATGACGAAGCTCAGAGGTTGTTCCTGTCCCCTCCCCATGGAGGCTGCTCCCTCAGCTCATCTTTAGGAGGCAGAAGCAGGTCCTCTGCCCAGATGTTGTGTTTCAATAGTAGTTATTAATTGTTGTTAAAATATGTTTAACTCTCACAGCTAGGGTAAAGACCCCTGTGATCATTCCCTGACCTACTGCTCTCCAAAGGGAACAGAGTATCATGTATGTCCTAATTAACTAGCTTTATTTAACTCAATAATAGATCACAATAGTTTTTCACATGAGCATGAATAGCTCTAGCTATTCTTTAACCACTGCAGAGTATGCCACACAGTAGATATACCAGAGGTTATTTAGCCACTCCCATATCCCCATTTGCTATTCCAGGTAAAGATGCAATCCACATTCTTGTATATGCCTCTTTGGGCATGTGTATAAGCATGACACATGTTTCTGCTTGCCAGGAAATGGAGTTGCTAGATCACAGGTTACATGCTTTCATAATTTCAATACATACTTCCACATAAACTTCAACCCACAAGACACTCCAAAATGTGGTATACTCACTTGGAAGCCTGAATCCACTCGTCATAGAGTTCAAAGGTCATAAGAGGTTCTGGCAACTCTCGGAGGTAAGATTTCAAAGCTCCTGGGCATGAATATACAATAGTGGCCATGAGCCACTTTGACATGGCAGAGACAGGTTTCCCCAGCCAGCATCACCCATGTGGGTTATGTCTAGGATGGGTTCCCTGATCCAGACAACAAAGTCAAATGGTGGCTCTCACGTGAGTGGATCTGAGGCTCTGGCATGGCAATGGGACCTGGGCTGACAATTGCACTGGCCTCCCACCTCTTATTTCCCACTTTTATGTCACCTTCTGTTGGCACACTGGGGACACCTTCCCCCAAGGGGTTACAGCAACCAGGCCCAATACTGGGCCTTGAGTGGACACACCTAAAACATGTCAGGAAGCCACGGGCTCGAGTGTCTGTGATGTGGCACACACCCTCCATGCTCACCCCTTCCCTGTGAGCCTCTATGGCATAAGGGACACCGTGCTAAGGGGCTGTGGGCGCCCACCTGCAATTGCATGGGGGTCTGCGGAGTACTCCTGCACGTCCACCACGCAGCAGTCCAGGGCAGCTTTCAGCTTCTTCAGCTTGGAGGCAGACGGGGCTACTCGGAAGAGTCCCTACCAAGAGGACAGAGGGTCAGTGGACAGCCCTGTAACTCACCGTCACGAAGGCAAACCCAACGAAGTCAGGAGGCCTGCCCACTCCTTCCCTCCCAATTCTCCTAGACGCACTTTCCCAGCACCATTTTTCAACAGCGTAGCTGCTTGTTTGCTAAACATTCTTATAGAGCTGGGACTGGGCCTCACCCGCTGTTGTGTCCCCAGAGCCTTGTATGGGTGACTCATTGTTCTGTTTCAGTATTTGTAAAAAAAAAAAAAAAAAAGAAAAACTTGGGCACTCAGATTTCTTGTTTTTGTGTATTTAAGATACATTTTGGAGAATAATTTGACTGAGACCTGGTTAGATTTGGGGGGGTCCTAGGAACTTGGATGTGAAAAGATCTCCAGGATATGTGTGTGTGCGCGTGCACGCGCACGCGCATGTGTTGGGAGGGGCTGGGCGATGAGGCTGTGTCCTCCGGGGAGGGCAGACGGGGAGCTTGAGAGGGGGTGATGCCCCCTGCAGCCCCCTATGCTCTATTCTTAGTGTTCCTCTTGAGTTACTCTCATCTTTTCCAAGAGAATCACTCCACCTTGCAGAACAAAAGTGAACGAGCACACATCATAGCCGTGGAGGAAGGGCCACGGCATTTGGTGACGGACACCACCAAAGAGAAGGGAGTGGAGTCGTCACACACGAGCTTCAGAGTCCTGACCGTGTAGCTGAGAGGACTGTTTCAGTGAGAGATGCAGAAAAACTGGAAGGAGAATGTGACTGTTCACATTGCTAGTGAGTCCACGTTTGGGGGTTTCAGAGAAAAACCCGCACGGAAATACTGAATACGTGGCAGCAAACATGGGAGTGGAGCCCAGGGGAGGGGTGAGGGTCCCGAATCCTCACGGAGGTTGAGGCAAAGGTCCAGGAGAGGATGGAGACACCCCAGGAAAGATTAGAGGGAGCAGAGGGCAGGGCTATGGGGTGCCGAACAGGTCATTGCGATGTCATCGACAGGGGCAAGGGGCAAAAGGGAGTGCAGCAGGCACTAGTTTCAAGGGTGGCTCCAGCTGTAACGTCACAGGCGGCGACATGGCCAAGGAGGCCAGGCTGAGGCCTGGGACTGGGCCACCTGGGGGCCTCCGGGGTCACCAGGGGTAGGTTTGGCCAGTAGTGGGAACAGAAGTGGCAGTGCAGGAGGCAGAGGAGCGAGCGGCGCTAAGGGCACACAGTCAGAAACGCGGGGAGTTACCTTAGGACGTCAGGTAGCACAAAACACAAGACCAAAGAGCTCAGGGAGGGAGTATGAGCCTGTGGTTGGGCTGAAAGAAGACTTTTTTCTTCTAGGCTACGGGAGACCTGAGTATACGTGTTACTAAAGGAAAAGAGCTGATGCAAAGTAGGGAAAAGTGCAAGTGAGAGCATGAACGTCTGGCGAGAGGCAGCAGGGCTGGAAGGGTCCAGGGACAAGGCGGGAGATGCCACACTCTCCGACGCCTGTTCTTCAGAAACTAGCTCACACTTACTAGAAATTTAAAGATACTGATCAGTTAGTTTTATTAGTATGTAATAATGTTCTAGTTCTACTTAAAAACATTCCCTATTTTCTAGAGAAACTTGCTGAAGTATTATAGATGCAATGATATCATGTCTGGGATTGGCTTCAAAATCTTCAAAGCAGGGGCGGGGGCAGGAAATGGGGGTGCAGATGAAACAAGACTGACCACGAGCTAGGGATGAGGCTGACTGTCCTGTCTTTAAGTGGGTCACTTTTTCCATAATTAAAAAATGATGGGGAGAGAAAAGGCCCAGATCACCTTCCTCTATGAAGCTGTTCTTCAGGCATTGTAAAACTCTTTCCATCTTATGACTGAGAGCACATGGGAAATGTGCCTGGCACTAACATGTGGTTAAAAACAACAACAACAAACTATTCTCATCCCCTTGGAACAGCCAGCACCCAGAGCAGGCCTGACACAGGGAAAGCGACACACGCGTTAGGACATCCGCCGGCTTCCTTCTCTTCTGAAGCCCTCCCCGTTTGCCCCATGTGACGCAGTGCTGACTTAAAGGCTGTTTTGGATGAATCGGATTTATCTGATAGATGAGACTCATCTCCCCTAAAAGGCTCATAAGCCCCCTTCTTACTCTTTTATACTTTGCTCAGTAATAAGTGCACAGCATGCCCTAAGGAACTATTGATCCGCTGGTCAGATCGCAGGAAGGTGAAGTGAAGATTTTAAAACAGCCACTAGAAGAAACCAAAGATAAGTTCTATCTCCCAGGAAAGATTTACATGGTAATAAAAACAGCAGTCACCGATTTCTCATAGACCTTTCATACATGTGGCGCTTAAGAACTATTTCCTAATGTTGCAGTCATATATTTAGGATTTCTATAAAGGAGTTTATGATCAAAAAGACTAAAAGATCTATTTTTTACTTTTATTGAATTTATTGAGGTGACATTGGTAAATAAAATGATGTAGGTTTCGGGGGTACAATTCTATGATTCATCACCTGTGTGTTGTGTTCACCACCCCAAGTCAAGTCTCCTTCCACCACCACTTAGTCTCCCTTTACCCTCCTCCATCTCCCCCACCCCCTTCCCCTCTGACAATCACCATGCTGTTGTCCGTGTTTATGAGTTTTGCTTTGTTTTTCGCTTAATCCTCTCATCTTCTTTCACCCAGCTCTCCATCCCCCTTCCCTCTGAGGGCTGTCAGTCTGTCCTCTGCATCTATGAATCTGTTTCTCTTTTGTTCATTAGATTCCACATATGGGTGAAATCATACGGTACTTGTCTTTCTTGGACTGTCTTATTTCACTTAGCATATTGCTCTCCAGCTCCATTCATACTGTTGCAAAGGGTGAGATTTCCTTTTTTATGGCTGAATAGTATTCCATTGTGTAAACGTACTACAGCTTTTTTATCCACTCATCTAGCAATGGGCACTTGGGCTGCTTCCAAATCTTGGCTGTTGTAAATAATGCTGCAGTGACCATAGGGAATGCATATATTCTAAAAGTTCCATTTTTAAAATCAGGGAACTTACAAAGAAGGAGGAGGAGGAGGAAGAGGAGGGAGAGGAAGCAAGAGAAGATTGCCAAGGTCATTTTAAACATGAAGAATGGATGGCCAGGGTGTGGCTCTAAGTTCCTCGTGGCCAGCGGTGCCACCGTCCCCCTGAAGGGAAGGCTCAGAGGAGAGAGCAGGGCCCCTTTGCGTTCTGCAGGAGAGAAGGCTGTGCGCCACCTGACCGTGTCTGGGTTCGTGGGGGCCACAGTGGGGATGGTAACAGCAGTGAAGACCTGTGGTCCGTGCCTCATGGAAGAGGGCACCTGCAAGGGGCCCTGCTCGGGGCTGGGCCTTGCTGTACGCAGACCCACCTCCCCCTGCATCCCACAAGGCAGCAGCATCGTCACACTTGTGTCTAACCCACCTCCTCCTGCACCCCGCACTCCAGCGGCATCGTCACGCACGCCCCAGACCCACCTCCTCCTGCACCCCGCACTCCAGCGGCATCGTCACGCACGCCCCAGACCCACCTCCTCCTGCACCCCGCACTCCAGCGGCATCGTCACGCACGCCCCAGACCCACCTCCTCCTGCATCCCGCACTCCAGCGGCATCGTCACGCACGCCCCAGACCCACCTCCTCCTGCACCCCGCACTCCAGCGGCATCGTCACGCACGCCCCAGACCCACCTCCTCCTGCACCCCGCACTCCAGCGGCATCGTCACGCACGCCCCAGACCCACCTCCTCCTGCACCCCGCACTCCAGCGGCATCGTCACGCACGCCCCAGACCCACCTCCTCCTGCACCCCGCACTCCAGCGGCATCGTCACGCACGCCCCAGACCCACCTCCTCCTGCACCCCGCACTCCAGCAGCATCGTCACACTTGTGTCTAACCCACCTCCTCCTGCACCCCGCACTCCAGCGGCATCGTCACGCACGCCCCAGACCCACCTCCTCCTGCATCCCGCACTCCAGCGGCATCGTCACGCACGCCCCAGACCCACCTCCTCCTGCACCCCGCACTCCAGCGGCATCGTCACGCACGCCCCAGACCCACCTCCTCCTGCATCCCGCACTCCAGCAGCATCGTCACACAGGCCTCAATGGGGAAGGCAATCTCCCGGCCGCTGATCGTGAGGTGCTCCTCCAGCGGTTTCCCAAAGGAAGGCTTCTCCACCCAGGCCTCTGAGGGGGTGGAGCAAGTAGGGAGTCAATGAAAAGGGTTGGTGAAGGTCACTCATGCTGGAATGGGTCTTTCCTCTTATCATACAGACTATCCTAAGACTACGAAGGACAGTGGAGTCTCCATTCCCATGGTTTTGGGGAGGACTGAGAGGTCTGCGTAGGGCAGGTGCTAACCAGCCGTGTCCTGAGTCGCTGGGCTGCATGTAACACGCACTCACACACACATCCGTGCACACACATCCGTGCACACACTCCCCGCCCCGACTCATCCCCTTGAGGGGACAGTGGGTTTGAGCGGGCTCTGCCACACTGCAACAGGATCAAGGCACCGGCTGGTGAAGTTCGAGCTGCTCATCTAAACGTAATCTAATACCCTGGGGACACATAAGGGTGGATGAAAACACAGGGCATCGGTGGCATCTGGGAAGGCAGGCAGGCGTCGCCCACCCTCCCCACCCGAGGAGGGTTTGCACTTACCCTGTTGTGCTTTTATCTGAGGCAGCACAGCCTGCAGGAGCGTCAGTGACTTCCTGTGGTATTCAGCTTGCACTTCTATTAGCTGGGAAAGCACAAGAGCGGGCATTACCCTTTGCCAAGGTTTGGGGGGCACAGGCTGCTGTGCCAGGTGGGGCGCTCTGTGAGGAGGGGTGGCCCTGCTTCCTCCTCAGTCTCTGCAGCAACAGTCACAAGTGGGAATCTGGGAGGCAGCAGGACCACGAGGGATTGGGGGGGCTGCCCCCAAGCTGGGGCCTGACTTGGGGAGCTTGCCTTTGCTGCCACCCTACTTCGCTGAGCACCCCTCAAAGCAAAAGGCAACAAAGAGAGGTGAATCGACACAAACGAATAATTGAAAAACACAGTTAGGAATCCATGTGCCTGTAAGAGCTAAATGCCATTAGCCTGTGCGATACACACACACACACCTTGTTTTCTGCAAAGCGGGTTCAAGATATAACTGATCAGAAAACTTGTGTCTTGATCTACAATGCTCTTCAAGTATGTCAAGTACCTTGGGAGGTAAAACTTCTTTGGTTATAATAATACAGCTCAAAGAACAAATCCCTTCAAGGTGTTCTACTCTGACCATACTGTTATTAAAAATCTGCTGAGATGCTGACAAGAGCCGGTGAAAACCCGATAACAATAGTTACTTCATTCATTTTCTGACCCCTCCCCCACCCTCAAAAGTTGGCCATGAGTGAGGGAAGCGGGATGAATCGCTGTGTAAGTGCTGGGCATGGGCGGTAGATGCCATCATCTCCGAGTGATACTAAAATAATGATGAAAAACCAGAATATTGAAATAAATGACAGCTAGGCAGCATAATGATGTTTGGAATGTCGGCAATTTCATTAGTTTTAACAACTCTAAAACCGAAATGTTACCTTCACAAATAAAACCAATGGAATATATTTAGAAATGTACTACTAGTTTAAACTTTCTGAGTTGGAAGGAAAGCATTTCAGTTCTATTTCAGAGCAGAAGACACTCCTCCGCATTTCTGGTCCCCTGATGAAAGTGTCGGAAGATTGCGTGTAATTGACAGCTTTTCTACATACTTACCAAAGCGCTGTGAACGTTTCAGGATTTCTCCTCCCTTTCCTTCTCATCATCTTCCTTCCTCATCATTCCACCACTTCCCTATTTTTAATTTGTATTTTTTCTCAACTCAGATCCTGGTTCTCTATTCTTTAAATCCCTGACCTCTACCTACTAGATGCAAATAACACATCCCCCAAAGGTGACAACCAAAGAATGTCTCCAGACATTGCCAAACGTCTAGCAGAAGAGAGAGCAAAATCACCCTTGACTGGGAACCACTACCACACGGTGCTGTGTTGCGATAACCTTCACAGGGGAGGTTAAGTTTTTTTCTTAGTTTTCTTTTTGGGGGTAGGGGGTGCTATACAAGGAGAAACAGAAGGCAGGCTTTACTCACAGGTGGAGGAGTCAAACTCCCAATCCTCCCCGGGGCCTGAACCCCGGGACTCAGCTCCCTGCCTGCCCGCCTTCCTGACTCGTGCCAACAGGCTTTAAGTTGTCTCACCTTTGTGGGCACTTACCGTTTGAAAGTAGTTTGCATAGTCAATTTCTTTGGCCACAAAACTGTACATGTCCGCTGAGAGCTGGTCCTGTGGAAGGTAAAAGGCAACGTCACAATATATTGTAAAATAAGACAATAGAGGGTGGCTAATGCATGGGTCTAGACACCAGAGAAGAAAGAACCTGAACCATTGTTCAATCTCTTTCTACATAGAACTTGCCATGTTATAAGCTCTGCCGTGGACATTTCCGTGTTTCCCAGCCACAGCCCTAGAGAACGCGTAGGCGTGAAAGGAACACGGTGCCAGTGGTTCCCCAGGGATCTCAGCACGCGGGCCACGTCTAGAGTTAGGGAAGCTGCTGTGGGGAGCTGAGGTGCAAATTACTTCCGTACACCTCTGCAGTTTGCTCACGACTGTGCAGCCCCCTCCCGTACAAACTGCTTTCACTCTCCTCGTCCTCTCATTTCCTCTCTTTGATCATTCAACTGCTTTGCTGTCCTTCATTCTCAATACTGATTGGCTGATAACAAGCCTATGAGAAAGAGACAGCAACGCACCCATTTGGAGAAAGCTGGGTAAGACAGGAGGGCGGGGAAAGGGCTGCTGATTCAGAACACACTGACACCTGGGCGCATCCAACCACACACACAGACTTCATAGTGTTAACAGTCCCCGGCTTTCCAGTTCTCCATGAGATGGGGACAATGGCCCGATGCTGGGTCTGGGTCTGAATGCGTTCGCCTCAGCAAACAACTTTCAGTTCCACAGAAACACCCGTAGCAAGGTACAATAAAAGTACGTTTTGAGCAGGATGCAGACTCTGTCACTAACCGTATCTCTGAGCATGTCACACGTCTGACCTTGTTTGTGCAAGTCCTATGATCTCTCAAGTCCCCCCCTGTTGGGTTGCCTCAGGTAGGGGATGCTTAGAAGGAGTGCTGTGTTACGAAGAGAAGAGTCTATAATGTTCTGTTGAGGTAAATGTGAGACCAGCACAAGGAAGCTGATTAAGATACCGAATGAATTCAAGCAGGCGCTACACGCTTCAGGAGGAGCCTGAGCTTTCACAGAGCCTCAGGCGTTCTACACCCACCCGTGGCCCTCAGCCCCTGCCGCTGCCAATTCAGCCTCTTCTTAGCGAGAGCGCTAGGATGCGAGGGGCGATCTGTTTCCTTCTCCAGCCTCCTGACAGGCCAGCCTTTGCAGAGGACATCCTTCAAGAGCTCTTGTACACGGGGCCACAGAAGCAGGGCACAGAGCAGAAGGGAAGTCTGTTCTCGGGAGAGCTTTAAGCACAGATTCGGCAACGCGATCCTTGGTCCAGTGTCAGGTAAGGAAGAAAGGGGAAACAATGAACACAAACAGCCCGGGTGCCAGGCACAATGTCATGGGGAGTTCCCGTGTCTCTTAGGTGCTAAATTCCAATTTCAGACAAGCAGCTACCAAGAGTTCAAGGATCTTACTGTCTGTCCTCCCTGGTCTCAAGGGTGCTTCTTATAGTAGGGGCTTAGTAACTATTTGGCATAAGGACAAAGGAAGAAACGGAGGCTCCGCAGTGGTAACTTGCCCTGAGAATGAAACAGGCTCTAAGCCCACCTGCCTCAGCCCCCTTTCAGCAGAGCATCCCTATAACGAACGCCGTTGTAGGCTGCCCACTCTGTCAAAGGCTCAAGAGGACACAGTTCTGGGGGCGATCGACCTGTCTGCCATCCCCGCATCAGCACCGTTCAGGATACAACCGTCACCAGCCCGGCAATTGTAAGGGACATATTTCAAGTCAGGCAAAATCAAAGGGCTGAAGGATAAAAGTGGCCCTACAGACAGAGGGGGGGAAGAGAAGACCCTATGAAGGACTAAGTGCCACAGCAGACACATCTTCAATGGCTTAGCATTGAACTTCACCAACAGGTGACTTCAGAGAAGTCGGATCATCTGTGTGTGCCTTCCAAAATATAAAAGGATTTTTAAAGATACAACTAGATCACTGCCTTCCTAAGGAAGCAGTATGGACTCCGAACATGCTACACTGCAAGAAAGGAAGTGGAAACTACAAATAAAATTTCCATATTCCTAATTGCCAGTGAATTTTCTTTTTATTTTAGTATCTTATTTTTAAAAAGATTTTATTTATTTATTTTTTGAGAGAGGGGAAGGGAGGGGGAAAGAGAGGGAGAGAAAAATCAATGTGTGGTTGCCTTTTGTGCACCCTCTACTAGGGACCTGGCCCAAAACCCAGGCGTGTGCCCTGACTGGGAATCGAACCGGCGATCCTTTGGCTCACAGGCCAGCACTCAATGCACCAGCTAGGGCATGAATTTTCTTTATAAAGAGAAAGAAAGACTTTCATCAATAATCACCAGAGTTAAATGTGTATAAAAAGTCATATGTGTTCTGATTTTGCAACTAACTCACACTTGGAAAAATACAAAGTAAAAAACCATATTCTCCTGTAACCCCAACAGCAGAGATAACAGCTATAAGCTGTGATGCTTGCTTAGCTGGCTTACAAAAAATGGACCAGAATGCTTTGTAGCTCACTTACCCCTAGATAAACATGTTTTATAATGGACATGACATTTAATAAATGGATGGCTTATGTTTCTATTGCTGGATATTGTGTTTTTAATTTTTCACATTATGATGACATTTGAATAAGCATCTGTCTATACAGATTTGCACCCATCTCTTGATTATTTCCTTAGGATAAATTCTGTGATTAAAATTAATTCTGATTATATAATTTCTTATAGTTAAATTTAGACAGTTTAGACAGATAATGAGTTGGGACATCAGAAAAAACATTTACACTATGAGCATTAATCCATAAGTATTTTGTTTGTTTGTTTTCTACAGTAACCTTTTAATTCTGTTTAATCACAATCAAATTTATAGAGAAAATTTAAATAGCATGCTCTTATTTTGTATTTTGTTTTATCAAGAGGTTAATTTTCTTCTAAATTTACTCTTTGTGCCATCCATTGTCAATTCCTTGTCGACATTAAGTACTCATGTAGGAGTCTTCACTCATTTCTTATTTACAACATCTGTAAATTCTTTTGATTGATGAGACCCATGGCTTTATCAATGACTAATATATTCCCTAATTTTCCATTTACTTTTGATACTATTTACAACGTATTTTGATCCTGTACTTTTTAAAATAGCTTTTCCATGTAGTAGTATCTATTATATTTTTCTCTTTATGATTTCCTCCTTTGCTAATCTGCTTAGGGCATCCCAATTAACAGTATAAATACCTACATATATGTGCAGAAGAGAATATGACATTTAAAACTTTAATACACTTGGAATTTATTTCGGTACTTGTATCAGACACAAATTTTTTTTTTAAAACACTAACCAAATGTCTCTAAATTGTTCATGAATAGAATAGATTGTCCCTATAGATTGGAAATGTCACAGATATAAAGCTTTTCATACACTTAGATTTTGGATTTTCTTCTGATTGGAGTGTCTTTTTTTGGTTTGTGTTTCACTGTTCTATTTATTTTTTTAAAATAGTACCTAAATTTTAATTATGTAACTTCACCATATCTTATAAGAGACAGTAATTCAAAGCTCCAATAATTATCCCACATTTGATTTAGAAAGCTTTTATCACCCTTTGAAGCAATTATTACAATTACACTGATGTACCACAGTTCTAACCAAACTAACTTGGGGGAATTCAAATTTTGATAACACTGGCTCTTCTCATCTAGGAACATCTCTCCATTTCATAGTCTTCTTTGATTTCCTCAATCCTATTTTATAATTACCCTATATTACATGATATTATTGTAGGGTTTTGAATATTTCTGTTAAAAAAAATCCCCCAGATATTTCTAAATACTTCTCTCTTAAATACTTTTTCTTGGTAGAAAGTATGAACTTGATTTTTATTATTGACTTCTAGTTTCCAGTCTGGCATATAAGGAGATGAGAAGTCACCATGTGAAGAAGGCACCACTAACAGTATGTAAAAAGGTGAACACGCTGAAAAAGCAACAATGCTTTTTCGATTCATCGGAGAAGTGAGGTCACATGGCAAACCGCTGCCCTCCGAGGCAGAGAGACAGACAGGTGGGGACAGGAATCACAACCCACCTGGGCAGAAACCACCACAGAAACCGGCGCTGGGCTGGGAACACCTGAGCTGTGTCTGACAAATTGCTGGGGGCTCAGCGTGGGCACGGCTGAGGGTTAAAAACTCTGGGGATACCTGGTCAGCAAGGTAAGACTCACAAAAACACTCTTACCTCCCAGAGCCCTACAAAGTTCTCACAGTGCATATCAGAAAAATCCGCACCCCCTGTTTTCAACAGGGGGAAGGGAAAGGAGCCATTCTGAAATGCACGTGAGCATTATATTCCTCTTAACAAGGCCTGCCCTCAGCAGCAATGGCTGTGTTGGAGCCTAGCCCAGCAGGGCTTCACCAGAGCCTCACTGATCTCGGCCTGGCCTTCCACACACACTGGGGAAGAGAAAGGCTCAGTTCCAGTCCCCTCTAGCCATCCTATCCCCCAAAACTAAAACAAAAACAAAAACAAATAAGCTGGAGAATCTGAAAACAAAACAACCACCACCAACAACACTGAGGCGCACTGGTGAAGGTCCCGGGCAGGAACACAGGCTTCCCCGAAAGACTGAGGCCTGGTCATAGGACCACGGAACCCCTCCCCGCCTCGCACGCCTGGCCGCCACAGCTCTCGAGGCCTGCGTGCACAGTTTCTCCTACCCAGCATGCCCATCCCCTTTTTGGAATTGCAAGGCATACCACATGGCAAAAGCACAGATCAAAGAAGTAAAAGCAGCATCACAACTAGAGTCAGATATGGCAAAAATGCTGGAGTTACTAGGTTAGGAATATTTTTTAAAGCTCTGATTAATATGCTAAGGATTTTAACAGCAGAAGGAGACAACACACAAGTACAGATGGGTAATACAAGCAGAGAGATAGAAATGAGAAGAATCAAAAAGAAATGCTGGAGATCAAAAGTGCCATACATAAATGAAGATATTAAAAAATGCTGTAACATAGCAAAGACATAAAAAAAATGCTGTAACGTAAGTGAAGAATGCCTTTG